TGTTTGTGGTTGCAGATTTTTCAGATGCAAAATAGAGGTGGCTTTGTAATATTTTCCTCAGGCTTGTTGAGAAGAGAAAAAAGAGGCAATAGAGGCAAACAAACTGTGACTGCATCTTTGTAGCTCCCAGACTTTCCATATGGGTTATCTCTGCCCTTCCGGGCAAAGCAGGGACAGTGAGGCTGATGACCTTTCTGCTTTACACAGACATGGGCTCTAACCGACCAGAAAACCACTTATATCCTACAGAGAACAGGGGATCCTCTGGGGTGTCGCCTTGGGGAAGGGATTTAAGTGCTCCTGATGGGGGCTGGAGCAATAGCACAGAAGGTAGGGTGTTTGCCTTGCACACAGCAGATTCTGTTAGATTCCCAGCATCCCATATGGTCCCCTGAGCACTGCCAGGAGTAATTCCTAAGTGCAGAGCCAGGAGTAACCCCTGTGCATCGCTGAGTGTGACCCAAAAAGAAAAAAAAGTGCTCCTGGTGTTGAGGCATCTTTGCAGTTCAGTGAGGGGCAGCACAGTGAAAGGAAGGATGGACCCTCAGCCATGCTCGCCATTTGAGTCAAGATTTTGTTGTCTGCCATACTGGTGGAGGGTAAGTGGGCACTGCTGAAGGGCTTGGTGTTGGAACATGGTATGACATGGTATGCCCCCAAATCATTCAAGAATGAACTTGTAAAAGTTTCACAAAGCCTTGATAAAAAGGCTTTTGAAAAAAGGCTTCATCCACCCTCTCACTGTGGGAGATGAGACTTTTTTTTTTTGCTTTTTTTTGGGGGAGGGGTCACAACCGGCAATGCACAGGGGTTACTCCTGGCTCATGCACTCGGAATTACTCCTAGCAGTGCTCAGGGACCATATGGGATGCTGAGAATCGAACCTGGGTGGCCGTGTGCAAGGCAAACGCCCTACCCGCTGTGCTATTGCATTTTAAAGGAATGTTGTGTCAATTAAACGAGGGATGGGCATCGCTGTACTTTGTCAGGAAAAGCATTTTAGAACAACTGTGGTGAAGAGAAAACCCACAGCTGGTTAGGTTAGTATTGGGGAGAGGGATTCTGGGTCTTGGGGTGCCTGAGTGCTGCTGGAAAATTGCTCCTTGCCCAGTACATGGCGCATACCCCTCACTCCCATTCCAGACCCACCCCAGGATAGGCAGACGGTTGTCCAAAGCTCTGGAGGGGGTGGGGGGCAGCTGGGCAACCCCCTGGGGAAGAGGGGGTTTGGGGGTCTGGAATTTATCAGCTTCTGTCCTTTAGCTCCACAAGATGCACAGAGAGAAGTTGTTATTCCAAGGAGAGTTCCAGAAGGTGCAGGTTCTGCCCGCTGGAAGGAAAAAAAATGTTCTGGGATGCTTAAAACAACCAGCCACCACCCTCAGACTCACCAACCAGTGAAAATACCCAGAAGCTGTTCTTCCACGGGATCTCATTCCCTACGGGCTAAACTCTGCCTCTGGGCCCTTCTGGGTATGGGGAGCTGTTGGGAGATAGCCACGGATAATCCAGGATTCCCCAACCCCAGGGAAGTCTCCCACCGAGACCGTAGCCCTCGGAGGGTTTGGAGGGTGACAGACCAAGGGCCCAAGATCAATATCCACAGGAGTCGGACCACATTTTATTATTTTAAAGGAATTCCCCTTTGTTCTCACATTTTACTCCAGTAAGACTTAAAACCATTTTTTGGTCCTAATCAAAATTTTGCTGACGCCGAAGACGCCAAACCGTGCCCCCGTACCCGCTGCCCGGGAGCTGGGTCTCCTCGCGCCTTCCTTAATGCGGCATGAGAGTCTCCAGCCCGATGCCCCCGCATTCGGCTGCGGAGGGTACCGAAGGACCGCAGACGATCGTCGATCGCAGGGGACCAGGGACCGCAGGCCAAGGGGGCACGCCCACTCCCCACCCCACCGAACCGGGGTGACTGGGGGCCGCAAGGTGGCCCCGGGCGGATCTGTGCGCGTCTGGTGCGCCCGGCCTGGCTTCCGATTCCATTTAACACGACCCCGCGCATCTTATCTCCGCGACGTCTCCCCAGGGTTCCCCCACCCCACCCCCGCCCCCTAACCAACCCAGCCTGGCTCGCCGGAAGCGGAGACGCGAGCTTTTGAAGTTCTGAGCATTTCAATGGGAGAGGAGACCACAGGACCCTAGTCAGCCGCCTCAGAGGGGGAGGGGACGGCCGGGCCACAGGGAAGGCGCGGGGCTTAGGGGTCCCCGGGAAGCAACCGGACCCCACTAGGCAAGCCTCCTATCGCCTTCCCTCCACTCAGCTTTTATGAGGGTACCCAGGCCCCTGCAGACCCCGAGCTTCTGTCTGCAAATTATCCTCTTTTCAGAGGTTGTGAGAAGAACCTTCCCCTGGATGTCACAATTAAATTACCACCCCCAAACACACACACACACACACACACACACACACACACAGAGACACAGACAGACAGACACACACACACACACCACTTTTCAACATCCAAGTTAACAGAAAAGACGCTTTTTAAAAGAAGTAGCATTTGTTTAAAAATCCCCCTCCCCCAACCCCTGGGTGCAGTAGACCCCTAAAGATGGGGAAACTGAGGCTGTTTTGAAAAGGCAGAAGCAGGAGTGGGAAGGGGGCACGGGGGTCTAGGTGGGAGGAAGGCACCCCTGAAGTTAACCTGGACGCCGCTTGTGGCAGTGCCCTCGGGGCAGAGCAGGAGCCCAGGATCAGCCCTTCTCCTCAGGGTGCCAGCCAGCTCCCCTGGGTCCGGCCCTACCCAGAAAGCTGCTGCAAGTGGCACTTCTTGATCTCAATCCTCTCCTGCTTTCATCTCGGGGAAGACCCGAGGAAGAGGATCAAACGGCAGAGAACTCCCATTGAATGCAAAACGGAGGCGGGGCAGGGACCCCAGAGTACTCACTTCTGAGGGCCCCTGGGAGGCGAAAGCAGCAGGGGGTCGCGGAAGGCTGAGGGTTCTCGGGTGGGGGTGGAGGGGGGTGCTGCAGGCCCGGCACTGAAGGGGCCCTACCAAAGATGGGCGAACCTTGGCAGTTCTAGTGGATTGTGGGGCTCCACTTCAGCCGCCTGGGGCAAGCAAACCAAGCTCTTGTGTGGTTTTAGGTGGTGGCCAAGGAAGGGCAGGGTGCACACTTCTAAGAATCCGTTCTAAGATCTTTCTGCCTCTTCCCTCTGGTCCCTTCTACTCCTGCTGGCTCTTTTCACCTTCTAATCCCGCCACTCCAGTTCCGAAGCTACGAGGCCAGCAGTGCTTTGCAGATGACGGCTTTAGGGGTTTCCGAGAGCAGACGTGTTTAGGCAGGCATTATTTTCAGAGATCTGGGCATTCAGCCCTCAGGCAAGGTTAATGAGTATCCAATAGAGCCCCAGGTAAGTGAGAAGCTGGAGTGTGGAGGGAACTTTTTGTCTTTCCAGGAGGTTTCTCTCCTCCCTTCCTTTGGGGAGACGAAGGGAGAGAGAATGGAGAAAGAAAAAGAGGAGAGAGAAGTAGGAATGAAAAAAAAAACCAACAAAAAATGTTGATTGAAGGATTTTCCTTGAGTCTTGAAAATGGGGCTTTGCCTTCTGAGACTGAGAAGGGGGTAGAGGGCACAGGAGTGCCCTGCTGTGCAGCGGGGACCTTTGAGGAGCTCCCCCCCTCAGCCAAGGGGCAGACACTAGCCCCCTTGCCAGCTTGGGCAGAGTGGCCAAGGGTTAGTTTCCGGTAGGTTCTGTTCCATGTTCCCCTGAAGAACTGAGTGGGAGCCTGGGTTACCCCTAAGGCAGTACTACGTATGTGCACCCCCATCTGTTATGAAGATCTGTGTCCCCAAAGATTTATCAGAGCCCCCAGTCACCTGTTCTTTTAGGGTGTTTTTGTGGTGACTTCTTATTTTTCAACCACCAGTTTTTGAGTAGGGAATCTCAGTCCATGAGAAGGGCCTGAGAGAGGACCCCATGATTCAAACCGCTATTGGTCCCCCACCCCAAGCCATCAGCTTAGCGACTCTCAAACCCCCACTCCAAATCCTGGCATGGAAATAAGTGCCCTTGGCGAGCAGCATCTGGGTGGCCACTGCGGATATCTCATTTATCAGCATCTTTCTTTGAAAAAGGAAAACAAAAGCTAAGTAGGGGGATTCGTTGACTCTGAACGAATATCTTAAAATATGGGCAAGCAAAGAGAAAAAGATGGCTCATAGCTCTCCCACACCCACGTACCTGGACAGCAGGCAAGGCCTGAGCGAATGAGCAAGCGATTTCTTCTAGGAATAGCCACTCGGAGGACGAGCTGTGCTGTGCAAAGACCACCTAGATGGGAAGGAGGGAAAAAAAAAAAGATCAGCAAACATCTTGAGACAACAACCCAGGCGGGTCTTCAAAGAGAAACAAAATCTTTAAAAGCATTTTCTTGCCCCTTGGAAAGGAGAAACAGCCAAAATCTCTTTCGTTCTGTTCCCGGGAAGAAGGAGACAGCTGGGATTCAGAAGGTGGGAGGAGAAAGAGAGAGCAAAGGACACCCCAGACTCAAACACTCCGGACAACTTGGGGGGAAGGGAATATGGTGTTTTGGTTTGGCTTTGGTGGCTTGTAAAAAAAAAAGACTGGAGCCCGCCGACGTTAGCTGGCCTGGGGCAGGCGTTTGTAATGGCGATGAGAGAAGCGAGGCCTTCACACTTGTAAAATGCATTACTGTTCGATCAAGGTGCCAAGTGAAGAAAATCAAAATCAAAGCAACGATTTTTTTTTTTTTAAGGACAAGAACTAAATAAAGCAGATTCAGTCCCCCAGCCCCGCAGTCCTGCGGAACCGGCGCGTTAAGCTCGCCTTTCTTTCTGCGGAATTCCATTTGCATCCCCTCCGCCTGGGTGTCTCCCTCGCTCAGTGTGTGTCTCTGTCTGTTTTCACACTCTCCTCCCCATTCGAGCGAGGCCCACACCTGGCGCATCACTGCCGAGCCATTAGCTGCGGGGGCTCCTTTCATCTTCGCGGTGGCAGACGTTTCTATTTATCCACTCGCGCTGGCCGAGTGGCGTCACCAGCGGTACTGTAATGACGATTGCAGCAGGAGGATGACAGCTTAGAAAGAAGAGGGCAATGGGGCTTCCTCCCAGAGGCGGTGCGGCGCAGAGGAGCGCGCGCATCACAAGGTGACCCCCAGTTCCCCGCCGCCGCTGCCGCGCCGCCGCCGCCGCCCGCGCGCTCGGACCGCTCCTAGCCCGCCCAGTCTTTCTGGCTCTCCCCCGCCGCCAGCCACGATCTGTCCGGCCGCTGGGGAACCCCGGGAGCTGGGGGCTCCTCCTCGAAGCTCACTTGGGGCTTTCCCCCTCCCCCCTCCGGAGAGCCCCGGCATGGAGAGCCGAAAGGACATGGTTATGTTTATGGATGGGGGGCAGATTGGCACTCTGGTGGGCAAGAGGGTCTCCAACCTGTCGGACGCCGTGGGCAGCCCGCTGGCCGAGCCGCCGGAGAAGATGGTGCCCCGGGTTTGCCTGAGCCCGCGGGCCGGGGCTGCGGGCACCCGGGAGCGCGGCGGGGGAGGCCCGGAGGAGGAGGCGGCCGACGGACCAGCAGGCAGCGCCGCGGGGCCAGGGGCCGAAGCGCGCGGGGCCGGGGCAACCGTACTCGGGCCCGGACCTCCGGCTTCCTGCGCTGAGAGCCTCTCGGGCCAGGGGCAGCCCAGCAGCTCGGACACCGAGTCGGATTTCTATGAAGAAATCGAGGTGAGCTGCACCCCGGACTGCGCCAACGGGAGCGCCGAGTACCAGCACAGCAAAGGTAGCCGCCGCGTCCCTCCTGCCTGCCCGTCCCCCGGCCGTCCCCTCGCGCCCTCCCGCCACCTCCACTCTGTCGGGGAGGTAGACACTCCTTTCCCCCAGGGCAGGGGGGTTGGGGGCACCCGCCTGAGCCACGCTCCCTGGCTAGCTGCTCCCTAACTGGGGGTTCTCCGGTCATTTGGTTCCATACTGAGATGACAGCGATGTCTGGAAGGAGTACAGGGCCCCCGGAGGGAGACGAGCCCTGGACTTGAGGGGATTCAATGTGAACCCTGATCCCCCACCTTCCGACTTGTGTTTGGTGGGACTGCTTCCACGGCGTGGGGAACACATCTTCCCCAGACATCAAACGCGGATCGGGGCAGTTTGCGGGCTGCGGGGTGTAAGGCGCGTCCTGGCGCGGAAGCCCTGAGTCCATAAAGGACCGTAAAATCGCTGCGGCGGGGCAGCCGGGTACTCCGGCCCTCTGACCAGTTTGCACGTCGGTCAGAGGCCCAAATTACCTTGTCACTTCCCGGGCTCGGTGGCGCCAGGTCGGAAATGGTCCCAATGATCTAATTGCCTTTGGTCTCCGGTTGCATTTGAAAAGGCAGAGCTCTGGCCCTCCCCTTCCCCCGCCCCTTCCCAGTCCCACTTCTCCACCCAAAGGAAAAGAAGCTGGGGGTGGGGGTGACACACACGACTCTTCCCGGAATTGATCTAAAAAAAGGGGGGGGTTGTCATTGATTTTAACTAGACAACCTCTCCTTGACTGGGGATGGGGTGGGGGAGTTGAAGGGGAGTGGTGAGGAAAGCTGTTCTGCCTGGAGCCCCCTCCACAAAGCCATGGGGGAGGGCGGCAAGAGCCCCACGGAAGAACCCCCCCCCTTTGCCAGTCCTGGGGGTCAGTACCTGGTTGCTGAGTACCCACCTGAGTACCCTTTGCCATCTTGTCCACTCCACCCACTCCACTCTTTGGGGTACTCTGCTTTCAGAAGAACCTCTGCATCCACCACCCACTCTTCTGCTCTACCTGCAGCCCCCCAATGCACCTTTCTACCTGCCTGGGCCTGGTGTACAAAAGCCGGGCCCCAGCAGTCTACCAAGCTGACCCAGAGGTGGAAGGGTTCAGTTCAACTTCCTTGCCTGTCACACATGCCCATCCTTGGCCCATCCCTGCCAGTGGTGGGCAGAATAGAGTGCTTAGAGGGGGTGGCATTGCCCTTGGGCCCCAGGCAGGTGGCTGAGACTTCTGCACCTCAGAAGAGAGTCTGGCAGGTCGGGCCTCTCTAAGAGATGCTATGTGCAGCCCCCTCATTTACCATTTCTTGTTTCTAGGGTTTCTGAAGTCCCTAGTGTTTGCAGAGACTGTATCTGGGCTAGGGGGGTGTTCCTTTCCACTCCCCCTCCTCTCCCACTGGGGCATCTGTTCCCACCGGTTGTGGGATGTTCAGCTGTGTCATCTGCTCTCCACTCCAGGTGCAGGGTCTGGCTCTGAGGCGCTGGCCAGCAGCCCCAGCAGTGGCAGTGAGGCCCCCAAGGGCCAAGGCAGCAGCGGCTCGCAGAGCACCCTGACCTGCAGCGCCAGCGACCAGATGCGGCGGTACCGAACTGCCTTCACCCGGGAGCAGATTGCGAGGCTGGAGAAAGAATTCTACAGGGAGAACTATGTGTCCAGGCCCAGGCGGTGCGAGCTGGCAGCTGCCCTGAACCTGCCCGAAACCACCATCAAGGTAAGCAGATGCCCAATGGGAAGGGGAGAGGTGCGCAACTCAGGGCTCCTGAAGCCAGAGCCAGCAGAGACCCTACCACACTCCTCTGTGTGTGCGTGTGTGTGTGTGTGTGTGTGTGTGTGTGATGTCCAGGCTGGGGGATAGAGTGTGGTAGGTGCTACTGAATCTTCTTAACAGTACCAAGCTTGGCTGCCATACAGATGACTGACTGTCCCCTTTCTGGCCAAAAGGCTGGGGAATGACTGAGGTGACAAGGTTTTGTGTGTGTGTGTGTGGGGGGGGGGCACCCCATTTGCCTGTCATCTCAGCCTTGGGAGAACTTAGTGACATTTGCACTCTCCAGATACCCATATCAGGAGTGGGTCCCCTGCCCCCCCCCCCCCCCCGTAGGTCCCGCCCCCTGCAGTGCGGGTGCGCGCTCCCCCACCAGCTCGTCTTCCCCACCCTTCCAACCCCCCAGGTGTGGTTCCAGAACCGGCGCATGAAGGACAAGCGGCAGCGCCTGGCCATGACGTGGCCGCACCCAGCCGACCCCGCCTTCTACACGTACATGATGAGCCACGCGGCGGCCGCGGGCGGCCTGCCCTACCCGTTCCCGTCGCACCTGCCCCTGCCCTACTACTCGCCCGTGGGCCTGGGCGCCGCGTCGGCCGCATCGGCCGCCGCTGCCGCGCCCTTCAGCGGTCCGCTGCGGCCACTCGACACCTTCCGGGTGCTGTCGCAGCCCTACCCGCGGCCCGAACTCCTGTGCGCCTTCCGCCACCCGCCGCTCTACCCCGGCCCCGCGCACGGACTGGGCGCCTCGGCCGGCGGACCCTGCTCCTGCCTCGCCTGCCACAGCGGCCCGGCCAACGGGCTGGCGCCCCGCGCCGCCGCCTCGGACTTCACCTGTGCCTCCACGTCCCGCTCGGACTCCTTCCTCACCTTCGCGCCGTCGGTGCTCAGCAAGGCTGCCTCGGTCGCGCTGGACCAGAGGGAGGAGGTGCCGCTCAACAGATAAGGCGCCGCCCCGCGGGCCACCGGCTCCAGGACGCCCGTGGGGGGCCCCCTTCCCGGGACACGCAGCCAGCCAGGACCCCAACGGTGGTGGGGGGAAGCAGAGGGGCCAGACAAGGACCTGCGGGACTTGGCTTCGAGGATCAAGGGACTTTGGGGAGGCGGCCTGGGCGGGTGCATTTGGGGAGCAGGAGGCGGGGTGGGATGGGGGCACCCCCAGGCTTAGAACTTCCTCGGGGCGCCTCCTTTTTTCCTTACCGGACCCGCTGCCCCTGACGCAGTTGAGGCAGTGGCACCAGAGCGATGAACAACTTCTCAGCAACAGTCACCAATATCCACCCCTCAGCTTCCTCCCAACACCCCTTCCTCACAGAGGAGGTCCTCACCTTCCCCATCCCCTCTGCCAAGGCCAGCCTCAAACTCAGCCAAGCAAAACAGCAGGGTGTCTCTTGGAATGTAGGCAGAGCAGGTAGGGAGGAATCTGCTAGGTTTCCCCGAGCCATGGCAAGAGGCTTGGGGATGGCTGTGCAGGGCAAAGAGACAGAGAGAGGATTTACTAGCACTGAGAATCCCAGCCCTTCCGTGGAACTCTGGTCTTGCTGAATCTCCTCTTAAACAACAGCTCCTGGTTCTGGTACCCACTAGCCTGGAGTTCTCTCTCTTCCTAGCTTCCCAGTACCTGTCAACTTGCAGCCCCCAGCGGGACTTTTTGTTTGGCATTATTGGGCAGGCTGCAGATGCCCTTGGCCCCCTGGGCCAACTTCTCCTCAGACTCTCCTCCCTGGGCCAGACACTTACCCTGATTAGCAAATGATGTGCAGGAGGAGGGATTTTGAATGTTGAATGTATAATAATGATCATCACCGCGTGGCTGGCTGTGAGGCCAGAGCTGAGCTGCTAACAAGGCGCCCAGGGAAGAGCAGGAACCTCATCTCCCTCCCTCAGTATCTGGCAGCAAATTAGAGGCCATTTCCAGCCATTGCCTGTTTGTTCATTTCCACTTCACCAAGAGCTATCTGGCCCTTGTCTCTGCATTACTCTTTCACATCTTCTTCCTCTCTTTCCTCTTTCCTCCCAAAGTAGGGGAGAGGTGGAGATGGCATACATTCAGTTCCTAGTGGGAGCTTTCTGTCCTCTCTCTTGGGGACCCCTCCTTCCCCTTCACCAGGGTGTGCCAGCTGTCTGGAATCCATTCCCAAATACCCATTTCCACACCCAATCTTGCGACCAGATTTTGAGGGAGAAGATAACGGTACCACTCCTGTTCTCCCAGTGCAAGATCCATCCTAATAGGAGGGAATCATTCTTCCTATAGGGAATAAATTATGGTTTGGTTTTCCTTGGAAGCCCAAAGAATTTGCTGTTACAGTTTGTTAACCATATTGCAATAAAAGCTGAACATGATTCTCATTTTAGCATTTTACTTTTTTTGGCAGCAGGCTGTACATGGTCTCTTTTGGAGTGACTTGCTCTTCACCATGGGTTCGGGTAAGGAAGGAATGGTGTTCTCAGAGTCTCCCAATCACCTGCTGGTCACTGGCAGGCTCCAAAGGGACAATGATAGAGACCGGGAGAAGCTAGGCATCCAGCTTTCCTACATTATGCACAGGTTGGAGTGTCATGGCTAAACTGACCCAGCAGAGTGATTGCTGGGCTGGGATTCACCCCTCGACTGGTTCCTCCTCAAGAAACCCTTTGTAAAGGGTTCCATCAATCCCACCTTCAAATCATCCCAAGGCAGAGGTAAATAAATAGGACCTTGTGAATGGAGCTTGAGTGTGGCAAGAAGCTGAGTTTGTTCTCAACTGAGGTCAGCATTTGGGGGTGGAGGATAAGCAGGAAAGATCATCTATTTGGGATGGGTGGGTCTACAGCAAGCAACTAACTGCAAGCCTGAAGTCATCTCCAGGGTGAAATTCTGTGCAGGAGAGGGATGGAATCAGGCAGTGCCCACCCACCTCATCCCTGCCCTACGGAGAGCATCGAACTGTTTCTGAAGTCTGGTTTCAGCAGAGCAGAGGGAGAGAGATGAGTGTCCTCAGATGACTTAAGCTCAGATGGCATGGACCCCCAAGAGTCCTCTGTGGAGGGGTGAGGATACCCCTCTCTCAGTCTCCATCTTTCCTAAGGTTCCAGGGCTAGCCCTGGCAATAGGGCAGCCACTGACCTGAGTGGCCTGAGCAAAGCAAACCTTAGGTAGAGGTTTCCAGAATCCTCCCTGCCATTCCTTAGGCCCCCAGCCCTTTGCAGCTACCTCTCTCTTGTAGCCAGGATGCTTCCGATACCAAACCCAGGCAAATCTCACCATTCCTCCCAGACAGGCCCAGATTGCTTGCGACAGGTAAATGGGCTGCGGTTTGCCGTAATGCCAGGCGTATTTTCAGTTAATAGGGAGGGAAAATGAGGTGTCTGCAGCGATATTGGAAAGTACAAGATCGATGATCCGGCCTCGTGTCCAATCAGCAGCCTTTAATTGACTGTATTTTCTGGGTAATTGAACCTCTCTTCCTCCAAATTGAAGTAGAAGATATAACAATACATCTTGCCAGGAGGAATTACTCATTACTTCATAATGAAATTTCCCTTTTGCCAAGGTTTGCGGTTTGGTGCTAAGAACCACCTCTCACCCGCCCTCGCCCATCCCCTCCCCCCACTAAAAACCAGGCTTTGCCTCCTGGGCCCCATACCTCCATTTGGGTGGGTGGGGAAGGAGTAAAGAGAGGAGGAATGACTAGAAAGAAAACACACCACCCCCACAGTCTCAGTCTCTTTGTCTGTAAAACGAATAGGCTAGACCAAGTGGCAGGGTTGGTGTGCTATCATTGCTTTTCTCTTCCCCACCCCAAACTTTCTCTTTTTCTGCTTAGCCTTGCCCTCATCTTGGTCCCAATTTGCTGGTGGGAAAACGGAGACTCCAAGTCTCGTGGCGGGGAGTGGAGGACGCAGGTATGAGCTCTAAGCTCCGCCTCCCACTTCCGGGGGCCCTGCACCTTTTGGTATCTCAAGAGTTCACGGTCACTCCTCTCGAATTTGACACCGGTTCCCGACTCGTTTTCTCAAGCTTCCTCCAAGGCGGTCTCGGGAAAGGTGGATCCTGGGAGCGCTGTCCAGCGTGGAGCCTCGCTCTGCTCCCCGCCCTGGCAAGACCCTCAGCCCGGCAGCCCTAGCGCGCTCGCAGTGCGGGCCGTCGCCGGCTTGTTAGCGAGTGATTGATTGCCTTATTAAAGCGTGTTCTTGTAAGTGTGACCAAACTGATTGCGTTGCATATGTTTGGGATAATGCTCATTTTAAACAACAGGATAAAGAGGATGAGCTGGGCTGAGCCTCAGAAGACGAAATGATTCTGGCCAGCAGCTTCCTAACTCTGGCATTAAATTGCCCGGTTACAGAGCAAATCACTTGGTGTCTCCACCCTGGTCCCCCCTCCCCCTTTTTTTTCCTGGCCAGCAATTTGATTGCTTCTCTCCACGTTCCAGGTCCCACAAATGATTTCTCGAGTGACTATCTGGGCTCTGCTTTCCCAGCGGGGAATGCTTTACCACTCACCCCAACCTCTACATCCTGGTCAGGGACAGCCATAATCCAGACAGCAGAAGTGACTCTCTTGTCCCTGGCTTTCTTGGAAAAATCACCATAGACCTTTACAGTCTACACACTGACTTATTTGGATGTCTTCCCATCCCCAACTCCAGACCTTTATAGAAAATTAAAGATTCTTTTGTCCTCCAGGCTTCTTCCCACTTGGTTGCTTTCATTATCCTCAAGCCAGGAAACACCCACTACCATATGTCCACAGGAGAGCTTGGGTATCCCCTCCACTATTTGCCCAGGACACCCACATTCTTGAAGCTCCTACTTATCCACTCCACTGGCTGCCAGAACCCTGAGTGAGGAGACAGGTTAGGTGGCTGGGGAGGTTGAGAGTGAAAACCAGGCATTTCTTCTAAATAATCCCCATCTCCAATTGCTCCTGGCAGCCAAGTTCTCTTCCTGGGCCTGGGTCCTAAACAAAGAAAGTGTCTGCTCACCCCAGTCAAC